GAGAGAGAGAGAGAGAGAGAGAGAGAGAGAGAGAGAGAGAGAGAGAGAGAGAGAAAGAGAGAAAGAGAGAGAGAGAGAGCATGACTTATTTTGACATGATACGTAAGTATTTTTCAATCTTCTTCGGGTGTTCCCACGGCAGTTGAGATATTCTCCGGCGAAACTCCACTCGCGTCTCCGATAGGGGTAGCTGTTCGAGGAGCCTCCGTATTTCTCGGCTACCGCTGCCTACTTAACGATAAGCAGAGCCTGATAGTAAATTGTTTACGCGATGTGGCAAAGCCTCCAAGGAGGGTGGAAAAAAGTGACGGAAGTTACAATTATTGAAATAATTAAAATAAATATCTTCTTGTAAATTTTGATAAACTTACTTTCCTAAGTTGCTTTAAATCTGAAAAAATTATGAAAATTATGTATTATATATGCCGCAGGCAAATGGTCATTTTGAGCCAGTAGCTTTTGGTTAGACAAATTCTATCTGACCAAATGATTTTCAATGATTTATTTGTTTTTAAACGTTATTTTTCTAGGCAAATGTTATTTAACTGAACCGTTGTTAAGCAAACGGAATTCAATGAAGTATGCCTTTGCGCATACACTTTACAACGCGAAACGAGGTTTCACATGGGTTTGCAACTTTTTACGCGAAGAGAGGTCCATCCTACACTAAGAGATGATTTTTGTTTGCAGAAATAAAAAATACACAAATAAATTATCAAAATAGTATATTATTAAATAGTATATTACAGAACATACTAAAAACCGATATAATGTAGTAGATAACAATAATAAGCATTATGGACTTATACTTCGTTCAAATCCATTTTTCTAAAAAGTGTTCAGGCAAATAATATTGCCTAGGAAAAACGGCATTTTAACACAAAGAAATGAGGAAAAAGTCATTCGACCAGGCGAATAGCATTTGCCTAGTTAAAAGCTATACTGATTCATAATAACCATTTTACTGCGACATATATAAATGTGGTACCATAAATTATTCCTTCTTTGTTACATATAAATTTCAAAACTTTTGAATTTAAGGCAATTTTAATTATTCAATCCTGTTAAATCAATTAAAAAATTACAAAAAATTATTTTATTTTTATTATATCAAATCATATTACCAATTATTATTTTGTATTAATTGTTATATCAAGTTGTAATGCTTATTTTATCATACGAAGCGAAATATGTGGTATCATAACGTCATCAATAATTTGTATATAATTAGATATTATTTTTGATATTTTTCTGAACGTTTAAAATAATTTTAACCTTCAAATAATACACTTCTTTTGAGCACCCATTAGTGGAACAATGGTGCGAATTTGGATTTGACATCTTAAATTGTACATACTCTTTCCTGAGGATAAAAACAGAAATGTTTTGAAAACTCAACTTTTTGGGGTAAAATTTTCCCACAAATTAAGTGGTATTACTCAATTTAATGGAAAAACTATTTAACAATTGAAAATTAATTATAAATGAGTTACCGTTTTGAAAAACGTTACTTGTTCGAAGAAAAGCTGCAATTTTTTGCTATTTTCTGAAATGAAGTGAAACTTGCGAGATTCTTCAGTTAAAATGATGTACTTTAATAAAAAATTATTGTTGTTGCAGAAATAAAAAGTAAAATATTTTTCTACATAGCCAGAAGTTGAGATTTTTTTTGTTTATTTAATAGTAATTTTAATCTTTCTAATAAATTTTTCTAAAAATAATTTCAATAAATATTAGGTATTTTAAGAACAAATCTTGCCAATTTATAAAGTGAATTATTAATAAAAACCGTTTACATAATTAAAATTATATTCAAAAGTACTGTTCATATTATCATGGAAGTTAAGACAGAGA